CACAGTTGGGATTGTGCGACAATGGTGTGTGGACCAGCGGGAAGAAGAGAGTGTAGAGTGAGAGCACACGGTGATCGTCTCGGCTCGTGGCACATGCGGTTTTGAGCCAGGGCCACCTGTATGTTTTTGACCTCATGCGCAGCGAGCAATGTTTGAGTTTGGGACCATCCGATGCTGCGGTGGTAACGTGAGACCACCTTTGGACAATTTTCGAACCGAGTGAGACCAACATTTGGTGATTGGACGTGATGATTTGAGGCGGCAAGGATCTGCGACCTGGTTTGGGAGTATCCTTGGTGCTTAAAGTGCAGTTCGGACTGCGTTGGGACTGTCTTGGATGTTGGGGCGATGTCGGACTGGAGCATGGGAGCACCCTCTTTGAGGGTTATCTCATTCATACATCTCAATGGACCAAACATTGACACGATTGGGCACTTGGAGAAAGAGGCGAACCATAGTTTAGTGGAATGGTTACAACTTGTGGTGTTGTGGGTCATGTATTTTAAGCTTCAACGACAATTATTTTTTATTTGATTGGAGTATTACTCAGGTTTCCTGAGTGAGCCGATTCAAATTTCACTCAAGGTCAGTTGATTGACTCAATTTTCCCTTTACATATGTGTGAACCCACACTTTGCTTGACCCTGTTTGTTTTGAATATTCGAAAGAAAAGGTAGAGGAAAATTGTGTGACTCATGCATGTGAACGGAAAAGTCTGACTTGGGTATGGCGTTGCATTTAATTCCTTTGAATTTGTTTGTTTTGCATGATGTGCAAGTAGGTAGAAGGATGCTTGCAAAGGAGGTCCATTGAATCTACATGGGATGATGAAAAAGATTGTCTTCTCTCTATTAACCACATGCCTGGTTGTCAAAAGAGAGTGTGTTTCGAAAGTGGTTAATCCAATGTGTGTTGAAAAAAAATTGGATTTAAATAAAGAAGATAATATTAAATTGGACTTAGTTTTTTTTCCGATGATGACTTATTTTATCCCGAATTACCTTATCTACTTATAACCGTCAAAATGATTCTCATTCTTTATTTCCTTTGATTTTTTTCGTCCAAGTTACCTTGAACTTTAGAAAAATGCGAGTAATTGGAAGTTACTCGCAGTGAACACATTCTCTTTCTCTAGGGAGCGTCTGAGACGGGGTTCGTTGCTTTACGAGGCGGTCCTATTATCGATCTAAAGTGGATCGTTCTATGGGGGGGTACTCTGCCGATTCGATGGAGACGGCCCGACTTCTCAGATCCGAGTTTTGTGCTCGGACGACGAGGAGGAGTACCCCAAACCACTTTCTAGAGGGAGAGACATGCAACACTTCAAGCAATGCACGTTGTCGAGCGAATCGGCTCCCGCATTTTTCGCAAAGGCGAGAGACCTCCTGACCATGTCATGCAAAAGTAAAACAAAACAATACGAGAGACAACTTGGGAACGACGCAAAATAACCCGTGAATCGCTAAGGCGGAAGTGGTCTCGTCGTCCCTTCGCTGCTCTAGCCGGGTGTGCTAGCTATATATCTCGCAGTCCCCTACGACAAGATAGGTTCCCTTGGGGCATAAACTTTCCTTCCCTAAGGGGCTGTCACCACCTTTTAGGGCGTATCCCTACCGAGCTACTGACCCATGTGCGAAAGTTTTTAGATGCAATTGCAGAGGTAGATCGACCGAGGGTGTATGCTCCGTTGATTGACTCATATTCCTTGCACACCTGTGTGAAACCACAATTTGTTTGACCGTATTGTTTTGAATGTTCAAAAGAAAAGGTAGAGGAAAGTTGTGCAAGTCATACATGTGAATGGAAAGGTCTGACTTGAGTATGAGATTGTACTGATTTTCTCTTAAACTTGTTCTCTTTGCGTGTTGCGCAGATATGTAGAAGAATATTGTAAAGGACAAATTTTATGGAGTCTGCTCGGGAAGATGAAAAAAATTGTATTTTTTTCTACATTTGAACTTTTTGTTTGTCAAAAGGACTTGTTGTTTGAAAAATATCAATTCATTGTGTGTCGTAAAATTAATATGATTGAAATAAAACAGATAAAGTTAAATGGATTTAGTCTTTTCTCATGATTGACCCTTTCTATCCCGAATTACCTTATCTACATGTATCTGTCCAAATGATTCTCATTCTCTATCTCCTTCGATTCGTTTCGTCTAAGTGACCATGAACTTAGGAGAAGTGGACACATCCTCTATTTCAAGGAATCATCTGGGGTGGGGGTTTGTTGCTTTAGGAACCGACCCTTTTATCGACCCAGAGTGGACCGTTTTACAGGGGCATACCGATTCGGTGGAGACGGCTTAACTTCTGAGATCCGAGTTCTGTGCTCCGGCGAGGAGGAGGAGTATACCAGACCATTTCCTAGAGTGAAAGACATGCAACACTTCAAGCAATGCACCTGATTAAGAATCATTCGCAAAGCAGCCTGCTATCCAGAAATATTGAAAATGTACGGAGACGGGTGTGTGCGTGCCTAATCTTAGATCGATGGTAGGTTGCAATGAATGACTTTGGCAACGTGTCTCATCAAGTCAAAACTAAGGTAGACCGACTATCTTGTCGGTTGCATCAAGGTTATTATCGAACTCAACTCCTTAACATAGATAAGACAGATGAACACAAATCATGGATACCATAAAGAAAAAAAAAAAGTGAGTTTTAATATCATGGCGTCATCACCTCTCTCCCACCAGTACCTGATTCTACACCATCAAGGACTAAACTCAACCCTTCTACTCATATGCCACTCAAGTTGAGGACGCCACCTACACTTAGTTTCCTTAAATATGTTTCGAGCACTTATAGGTGCCTCAGTGCAATCGTCGTACGGGGTCGTAAACTTTCCATGTTCAAAAACAGGGTCAGGATTATCTCTGCATAACTCAGAACAAAAGTCCGAGGTGTACGGAGACCTGCGCCGTCTGTAGGTACGCAAAACCCGATAATATCAATAAAGCTAAATAACATAAAATAATAAGTACATAGCTAAAAATTAAAATTAGAATAAAAATAAAATAAAATAAACACAAACAAGATAAAAAAACCACAACATAATTTAACACTAGCCTCCGCACCTAGTTCATTTTTCAGTCCATATGCTGTCACGACGCGTCAACCAGTAACCCCTGCTATCATCTAGGCTCCGAAACAAAACCGACAAGCATCCATGATCTGTTTACCCGACGAAATCCCATGCTTTTACCCTGCGCTGCAAAACTTAACCTACCCGACAGTTTTACTGAAGAATCCGCGTACGAAGATGATATCTCGCTCTGCCTATGCGGTATTACACATAGCATCATGGTTGCGCTCCGTTTTTCTGGAACCAGTTGTGTACAATCCCCTCCATCGTTTCCCAAAACGTTTTCTGCTTGCGGCAGACCATCCATTGGAGCCCAGCGAGAACCACCTTGCCTGGGTAGTTGGACTTACACAGCTTCTCTACTAGCGTGAGGATGTTCAGTACGGTAATTCCAGGGTCATTCGAATTGTCACAGATTTTCAGGATCGTATTTGCAATCGTGGTGAATTTAATATGCGTGGGCCAAAACATGACAGATCCTTGAACGTCTTGAATTTTAGCAGACCGCTACTCCAAATTGTCTCGGCATTCTTGAACTTGTGAGACATAAGAATCGTAGACTCATCAGCAACGATCAGTCTTATTTCCAAAAAATCAATAATTTCATTACCGCTATCTGTCCGCTCGAGCAGTAATTATGTGTAGTTCTTATAACTTTCTTTTGACGGTATGTTTAAGGGCTAGGATTGAGTTGGGTTTCACACTTGGTTGAGATCGTCTTATTCGACAGATGTACCTAGGAGATCAACGCCCTAGGAACAAACGACGTTCGGGTTCACTTCGCGTTAACCAAGCATATCTATACTACAGCGAACGAGCAAACACCCTCGACTTATCTACCGCTGCGATTGGATCTAAACACTTTCGCACGTGGGTCAGTAGCTCGATAGGGATACACCCCTAAGGGTGGTGACAACACCTTTGGGAACAAAAGTTTATGCCCTGCAGGAACCTATCATGTCGTAGGGGACCGCGAGATGTATAGTTGGCGCACCTGGCTAGAGTTGCGAAAGCACGACGTGACGACGTCCGCCTTAGCGGTTCGCATTGTTATTTTGCATCGTTCCCAAGTTGTCTCTCGTATTGTTTTGTTTTACTTCGGCGTGACATGGCCGGGAGGGCTCTCGCCTTTGCGAAAAAGGCGGGAGCCGATGGGCTCGACAACATGATCAAGAATCATTCTCAAAATAGTATGTCTTCCAAGGAGATTAGGAATGTGTGAATACAGGTGTGCGTGTCTAATTTTAATTCGGCGGTAGTTGGAATGAATGACTTTGGCAGCGCGTCTCATCAATGCGCGGTTTGTGCTGGTGTGCGTGGATTGGGAACAAACCCGGGGTGCCGACTCTCGTATTTGACTTTCATCGTTACGATTTCGTCTACGTGATCGTGCATCATTATCTGCGCAGTTATTGTGCAGGATTGTGTTGGTTTAGTACTGTTCTAGCGTTGTTCTAAGGCTGCTTTATGTAATTATCGCGCAACGTGCGTGGTTTGTGCTGGTGTGCGTGGATTCGCGCATCACTCTGCTCATCTTCTTGTGCTATCTTGTGCTCCCTCGTACTATTCGCATTTGCAGGCCTCATGTATCGATTCGTGTTTTTTCATGGATTATTGTGAGTTCGAATTTTGTACTCCGTATTTATGTATTTTTTTTTCATAAGTTTCGCACTCGATGGGTTGCGCTATTAAATGTATCTGATGCCCGTATTCATTTCAATTCGCTTACCGGTAGGATTGTAAAATGCGATGTTGCCACTCTGTTTGACTCCGCTTATGAGTAGCGGCTAGATGAACTAGGTATCTCGAAGACCTGCCCGGTGCTTACGACACTGCGCAAGATAGTTGGGCGGCCTGAAGACAGCGAATCGTGCGTAATGTGAAGTATGCTGTACTAGTGCGGCCAGGGTTTGCGAGGTTATTACTAAGCACGGTGTGGATGCGAGCAGAGTGAATGCTTAGAGCATCAAGTTGGGTTGTGGATACAAGAAGCAAGGATAGGCAGGTGGCCTGAAGCATTGGCATTGGGAGTCTGCTACTGGTACTTTCGTTGCTTAGACGTATGTACGGGAGGAAAAGCGAAAGAGCGGCGAGAAGGGGACGTTGGTTCAATTGTGGACGCTACTGGACGAATATGAACGGTCAGACGAACGGACAGAGCAATCCGCCGCCACCAGGTATATATGGCGTAAGTATGCAGCATCCGAGTGGGTTGAATCAAATGGCACCCTCGAGTGCTGGTTCCGGTGCTAGTAACGCCGCCTATCAAGCGCACCAGCCGAGTGGGCATTGGAATGCGCAGACATGGCCGGGACCATGGCAAGTAACTGGTGCATGGGCGATGCCCCCTGCTCAGCCGGTGCCGATGGTGCCGATGGTACAGACTGCGCAACAGATGATGGTGCAACCTCCGGTTATGACTCCACAAGTTATAACGCCACAGGTTATTGCTCTGCAAGCTTTGCCGCCGGCTTTGCCACCGGCTCTGCCTCAGGCAAATGGCACTGCGCACCAACAATCGAGCAACCAGTTCCGCTCGATCCAGAATTCTCAGTCCGGGGAGAATAGGTCGCAACATGCGAGTAAAGTTGTGAATGTCTTCCCGGGACCGGGGAATCGCGCATATTTTACCAAGAAGTGTATGGATCTGCTGGAGGAGATTAAGACTACCAAGGTGTTAGATGAAGCAAAAAAAAGGATGGCGGGTAATAGGCGTGGAGGGGGGATCCAAATCTCTGGCACCTCCGGTAAAAGTCACATTGGGCAGATTCGCAACAGTGATAAGAGTGATGAGATGAAGGCTTGGGTCTCATCCACTCTGGGTGATTCGCTGAAACTCATTACTAAGAAACTGGAGGAAGTAGATGCTAAAGCTAGTGTGGCCGTGGCGGAGAAGGAAGAGCTCGTGAAGCTCAGAGCGGAAAAAGCAGCCCTGGAAATGGCGATGTGTAACAAAGTAAAGGAAACCAGTAGTGAGAAGAGGAAGAGAGTTACGGCTGCCCGTGCAGCCCCTGCGGTGCACGCACGGATCACCCCGAAGAACAGTGAAGCAAATGCGCGATCATGGAGCAGTTCAAAGTCGAGAACACGTAGAGTGGAGATCTTATCTGACGAAGACGGAGATGATGATGGGGTACAACAGAACTTGGCTCCGAAGCAGGAGAAGAGCAGCGACTTGTCGGAAGTTAAGAGATTGCTTTCTGAATTGGTGCAGGGCCTGGCGGAACAGAAAGGGAAGAAGCATGCGGTTTTCCCTGAGTCGGTACCTAAGCCAGGATCACAATCCGATGATGCAGAAGATGTGGACCTCACGCAGAAACCAAACCAGGCGGAAGAGGCTGACGCTGATGAAGATGGGCTTGCTGCATACATGAAAATGCGGCAAGACTTCTATATGTCATTACATTTTTCTCGAGTACAAGAGCTGTGTAAGCAGAGGGGAGTGCAATACGTTCGCAAAGACGCCGGATCCTGGGAGCTGGCACGATTGGACCTGCAGGAGTACGTGGATCAACTGAAGAACGAAGCCCCGAAGGTTGCTGCTGAGCCATCTCGGAACCATGACAACGAGGATCTGAACGATGTTGCCGGGAACGGTGCTGTTACCGGCAAGTAGCATATTCGAAGTCTCCGTTCCTTGAAACGGGCAGTTAATAGGATTTCTAAAATGAAGGAAATGGTGGATAGGGTGGTAATTCCCTTGCTTGACCAAGTCCACGCTCTGATTATTCTTCTTGCATGCTTACAGGGGTACATTGCCTGGGGGAAGGTATACGTGCGATTCTGGCTGCGCATGACTAAGGAGGAATGGGATCTCCTGTTGAAAGAGCATAGTTGTGTGTATGTTGTTATGTCTCTGAGTTATAAACTTGTCTATGTCGAGAAGACGATCAGGACCCTCAGAGAACGGTGGTATGAGCACTGTCGTGCTGTAGCTAGTGGAAGCAGGCAGCGTGTGCACTCCTGGCTTAGGAAGACTGGTTTCCATTCCTATGTGCCTATCTCCATTTGGTTTGGTGAGCAAGCTGCGATTGAGGGTTTGGAAACCAAGATTATTAAGAGTCATAAGTCTGGTCTCAATTCAAAAGGGCGAGGCCGAAGAAGCAAGCCCCGTAGGTGTCACGGTAGAAAAAGTGGAGTTGTCAGCAGGTTGGTGCAATATGATGTTAACGAACCATTGTTGTTCTGTTGTGAGGCGGTTAGCGCTAGACGGGAACCTGATCTTCTTAGAATCCTGAAACTGTTGAGGAAAAGTAAGAGGAAGGGTGTTGTGCTGATTTCGAATAATGCTATTAGTCAGTGGGTGAAAGCATGGAGATTGGTAAAACTGTTGTTTGGTGCTTCAAAGATTGAGGTTAATGGGAATAAGTTACTCCTCAGCGATGCTAAGGCCTATATTGAGAGAGGTGGCAGTTGGTTGGTCACTGCGCTTTGCATGACCAAAACCAAGACTGAGCAGGATAAAGCGAAATTAATTTTCTTGCTCCGGGTCCCATGGAAGTGTAAGGACTTGTACAGACTCTCACTTGAGGAACTTATCAGACTCAACAGTAGTGTTAAAAGTGTGGGGCAAAAGAAGGGGAGGCAAATCCTGCAAGGGATTCTGACAGGCGTTGGTAAGAATAAATTTGGGATAAATTTGAGGGGTAACATTACTGTAAAAATCCCATTTTGCACAACAGAGGATAAAAGGAAAGTTGAGGCAGTAACCAAGGACTGGGTAAAAAATAATGTATCACCAACATCGCTTGGTAACTTGTATGCAGGAAGGACGAAGACTGTGTGGATAAAAGTCCGTTCAGTTGGGGACCTTTTGCATAACCAAAAATCCTTTGCGCAAACACACGTTTTTGAATGTGTCTGCGATGGATTTAACTTGCCCAAGACAAATGGGCATGTAGCGGTTAAGCTTAGCGCGGTTGAGGATATTCACCCGTTCCTATTTAATGCTAAAAACGTTCATTTTCCTGGGACTGTGGCCAACAAGGAAATTGCTCGGCGGGCCTGTAATAATGCCTTGGATGGATTACGGGCAGCTGGTGTAGTTGCGGGAGAAATGCGTATTGATTGGCGAGCCGTGGTCCGCCGAGGTGAGTCTCAACATCCTTAGTGAATATGTCCACGGGGTTGGACAATCACTGGACGGACTGGTTCGGTCCCCATTGGACCGAAATACAAGTGAAACCTGGATTCAATGTCTGGTTTTGTATAAGGAAGGGTTGCGTAAGATGTACTTGGAAAACGAAAACTATGAAAAGGTGGCCTGTACACTGGAAGAGGTTGTTGAGAAATGCAAGAGGAAATACCAAAAAGTTGGGTTGGATAAAGTGGCAGCGTGGGATCGGAAAGGGGAGTTGCAGTTTGCATATGTGCTCTCAAAAGAGAAGGATAAAATGAAGAAACGACCAATTGTCCCATCCTTCTCAAACCCATTTCGTGCAGCTTCTGGGGTTCTTTCGACTGCGCTAAATGGACTAATTAGGCTTGTCAAAGTCCCACATTTCAACCTGCAGGCAATTGGGGAACTGAAGAACGAGATTGGTAAAATAAATGAGCATGCAATTGAGAGTGGTTTGGATTTTGAAGCCCGCACATACGATATCAAGGAGATGTTCACACAACTCCCACATAGTGAAATTCTCAGCGCCGTATAATGGATTGTTGAGGTGTGTGAAAAGGAAGGTATGAGATGGATACGGGTGAATACTCACAAAAGGCTGGCAAAGTTCGGGAGGTCGCATGGGGAGGGAGGTTGGAAATCAGTAAGACTGAGTATACTGATGGTGCTGACGAGTTTTCAGTTGGGCAACACTTATTTTCGAGTGAGTGGCTCAGTACTAAGGCAAAAACAGGGTATCCCGATGAAAGGCAAAACTAGCTCTCCCATGGCCTGTGTGATGTGTATGTTCGCAGAATATAAACTTTTAATTTCACTCGGAGTGGATGCGAATTTATCGCTGGAAAACCTGCTCGTAGTCTCGTTCTTCAAGAAGAACGACCCTATGTCCGAATGCAAGGTCAGGGAACGTTTCGACCAAGTTACGCAATGCTACCCAGACAAATTATTACTCGAAAGAACGGACACTGGGATGGGGATCCTGGATTTTCTAGAAACCAGACTACTGGTCGGAATGGAGCCAAAGACCATAACCATGTCACACAAGTTTAAGAACGCCGACTCAATTTGGGATACTGAAGATCCCCGGTTCAGGACTTACAAAGATTTCATATGGTTGGCCCACATAAGGCCAAATATGCCACAGTGGCTAACACCATCCTTCGAATTTCCAGAAACTCGAAGAGCAAAAGGGTAACGATTTGAAACGTACTTACCTTGGTTGAAGAGCTGCGAAAATTGGGGTACCCTGGGGAGGTAGTAATTGCTGGATTGGAGTGGATGGGGAGGCGCGAGCCGGGAAGTTTCTGACCAAGGATTGTGGAAATCGCACGCGCATGGCTTGGGGCTTCGTAACCTGGATCCCGTGTTGCTAACAGACAACTACTGCAACAAGATCAGATCTACTGTGTTAACTCCGATTCCGAGGTATCGAAAGGCAGTTTTACTGTCGAAAGTGACAAAGGGTGGATCGTGAAACGTGGTTAGCAGCTCTCCACTTGACATTCTAGTATGTTCTCGATAGACAGGAGCGGAGGACTTCAAGAGCGGAGGCTGAACACAGACTGAAGGCGCGAACTGATGAGTCTGACACGGGTTCTTCAGGTACCGTCCGAATCAAGACGAGCGTAAGGGCCATGAGGGTCCTTCTCCTGATCGCAGGAGGCTTATCTGGTCGCAATCTACGCCTAAGGCGTGTTTTCGACCATAATAGTTTTCGGGCCGACTTATCAAGGCAGGTCACCGGGCATGAACCTGGGAGACATTAGGGGAATAATTTAGAAAATGGATTGGGCTGAAGTCAGGGTATTTCGGAATAGGGAACGGAGGAAGGAGTGGAGGAAGTAGTATATATGGTAGTAGGGAGAGTGTTTTTTCCTCAACTTGAGTGACGTATGAGTAGAAGGGTTGAGATGCTCTGATGGTGTCAAATCAGGATGAGTAGAGAAGGAGTTGGTGACGTCACGATACTAAAACTCACATCATCTTCTTCTTACGAGTTATTATGTTTTCATGATTTCGAGCGCGTCTCATCAAGTCAAAATCGAGGCAGTCCGACTACCTTGTTGGTTGCATCAAGGTTATTATTGAAACCAACTTCTCGTTGGCGAATGTACGATTTTTGTCCAATTCGACCTGAGGTGGTCGGGATTGTATATCGATCTTGTGTTATTGGATGTATCAAATGATGATTTGAATTCTTTCAATTATAAGTTAAGATTGAATATGCATTTTATTGACTACAGTCCATTTCTTTTGATGTAATTATATGTGATTGATATAATTTTCATTTGACTTTATGTCTGAGGGACTCTGATTAATTTGTGGTTTCACTCTTGGTTGAGTCCGTCCTAGTCGATCGATGTCCGCTTTGTGTTTAGGAGAACAACGCCCCAAGGGACGGACGATATTTGGGTCCACTTGGCGTTAACCAAGCGTTTCCTATACTATAGTGAGTGAGCAAACGCCCTTGACTGACCTACCTCTACGATTGCATCTAAAAACTTTCGCACGTGTGTCAACAACTCGGTAGGGATACGCCCCTAAGGGTGGTGACAACCCCTTAGGGAAGGTAAGTTGTGCCCCGCGGGAACCTATCCTGTCGTAGGGGACCGAAAGATGTACAGTTGGCGCACCCGGCTAGAGCGGCGAAAGGACGACACGATCACGACCGTCTCGGTGGTTCAGGGGGTTATATGTCGTTCATGAGTCATCTCATGATTTTGTTTTTGTTTTAACTCATATGTGGCATGACCGGGAGGGCTCCAGCTCTTTGCAAAAAGGCGGAAGCCGATGCGCACGACAACAACTATACTGAATATCATAGTCTTTTCTTAAGTAGCTGATGTTCATAGTGGCACAAAGGTACACTTATATATTTAAGGCGCATCGTGCCATCAAGAACTTCAAAAGTATTGATGTGCCTTTAATACTTGTATCACCATTATATCATTCTTTGAGTTACGGATGTAGCGTGACAAGTACCCCGACTCCATTAGCATATCAAAACATTTTTCTTTATATGATTTCTTGTTATAGCATATAGGAGATCAGACCACATAACTCAATCTGCCATAAGAAGAAGAGCGCCAAGGCGATACATAATCGATGATATAAGGGTTTGCAACTTGAGAAACAAGGGGCGGATCAGGAATGCGAGGTGGTGGTGGAAGAGCAGGGCAAGAAGGTGGAGGAAGTACTACCAATTATCGTCGATGATGCATCATGGAGGAAGGAGGGGAATATGACATGGGGTAAGCGCGAGAAGGTGGCTTAAAACAAGGGAGCGGGACTTCATAGTGCTGCTTATATTTATACCGGTAGTACGTCATCCTTCCTCAGGATGGCGTACACTCTCACCAATCTTTCTGGTGATGGCGCACCCTGTCTCCTTTCCACTTTTCCTTCTCTTTTTCTTCCTCTTTCTTAGGCTCCTCTCTTTCCTTTGTTAAATCAACCGGTCTCTCAAAAGTTTTTCCTAGTTGTCTCTCTCTCTCTCCCTCTTCTGGTTTCTGATCCGCGCCCCTTAGGCGGCATAGCTGATGATTCTAGATGTAAGCACTTCAATAA